AGAAACATCGCATGCTTCGAACATGTCATCAACCCTGGATCCAACATCTTTCTGTAACAAGAAACCAAGGTCAGATGTTCATCCATAAGATCATCTTCACATCCAGGGGTCATAGTTTAGAGACTCACAACCCATTATAACAATCTCATCTTTGTTAGGGATAAATTTCTTGCATATGTTAGAATAAGATACTGGGCTGGAGAGATGGCTCAGAGGTTAAGAGCACTGACTGTACTTCCGGAGGTCTTGAGTTCAATTCCCAGCAACCACATGGTGGCTTACAACCATCTATATTGAGATCTGGCGCCCTCTTCTGGCACGCAGGCAGAACACTGTATACATAATAAATAAATAAATCTTAAAAAAAAAAAAAGATACTATTTCTGCCTTCTCAGATAAAATGTGAATCAATGATCCCAAGAGGAAGAACACAAAAGTAAAGAAGTCATCATATAAGAACCATTTTTTGTGACTTTTTTCTCTTCTAATTGTTTTATAAAACAATAGCGTTTTATAATTTATAATTATAAATTATAATCTATAACAATAGGGTATAACCTAACAGTGTAGTTTTTATATAGACATAGAGCCTCACCGAAAGGCTACACAGAAGCCAAATAATAAAATCTGACACCCATTCAATCTGCTTTTAATCAGTTCCTGGAAGGCAGAGGCAGGCAGCTCTCACGGAATTCTAAGGCCAGCCTGAATTCCACAGTAAATTCAAGGCCAGCCAGGGCTACACAGTGAACGGCTAACAAAACCACACAAACCGACACCTATAAAGCAGCAGGTAAGAGAGTCTGAGTTTCTGTCTTTGCTGACTCTGCTCTCTAGATGACCAGAGGCAGCCTTCCCTATGGCTGCAGTGAAGACCTCCTACAAGAGTGAGAGCGGACACTGGAGTCCTTAAGAGAACGTGATCCAACGGAACACAAGCATCCCATCCACACACCCCATCCACACACTGCCCAGACTGTTCTCTGCATGTCCACAAGTACCTACAATCCGTTCTTCTGGTATTCCCTCAGCCTTATGTTTACACTTTTCAGTTTCCTAAACTCTGACTTCTAAGGTTTCCTGCCTTTTCTCCCAAGGTCCAACGGAACTGGGATTGCTCTGCCCAGGCTTCCACACAGTCTTCCTAAGTGATGGGTCCGATCACTCAGGGACTAAGCCTTCATTAACTATTCCATATAAAGCTTTATTTTGTGTGTGTACGCCTGTGGAGGTCAGAGGACAACCTGGGAGCTGCTTTTCTCTTTCCACCATGTGGGTCTCGGGGACTGAACTCAAGTTGGCAGGACTGTTGGCAAGTCCCTCTATCACACTGCGCCATTTCACTGGCCCAAAAGCTCTTCTCTAAGGTTCCGGCTCTGTCATTCACTAGCTGTAATTTTGGGAACGCTTTCTTAGCTGAGTAACAGGCCACAAGATAGGTGCACAGCTCTGCACTTAACTAATAAAATTAAAAAAAAAAAAAAAGAGATTAATCAAGTTACCAAGAGGATTTTTACTGAGAATTAAACAATTTGCCCAATCTTACACGGTAAACTACTGGCTGAGCTTTAAATCCTGGTAAGTGTGGCTTAAGTCTAAACTATTAACCACTACTTTACATTTTCCTTCATAAGTTAGATACATATGTGCAACTATAAAAAACAAATTAGAGGCCACGTGTGGTAGAACACGCCTTTAATCCTAGCACTCAGGAGGCAGAGGCAGGTGGATCTCTATGAATTCCAGAGCAGGCAAGGTACACAGTGAGAACCTGTCTCAAAAAATAAAAAAGAAATAAAGAAAAAGGAAAAGAAAAGGAAGGACAGGTAAGTTCTTCAACATAGCTCACTGGCATATATAAGGCAGTTCCAAGGTGCTTACAGTGTTAGAAATACCTGCCTCAATGAATTACAGGACAGTTACATGATCCACCAAACAAAATCTAAAAAAGCCTAACCAAACCAAACCCCCCGAAATCTGAACCTCCATAACACCCACTCTCCAGCATGCATCTAGTAAGGGACTCCAGCTGGGATTTCTGTTCACAGTGCCACATCTTACACATCTAGAACATGGCAGATGAAGCGTTCAAAACACATGCTGAATGAATTACGAACAGTAAGAAGAACAGGAGGGGAAAGGGAATTTTAATCACACCTCTGTTCTAGTTCCTTGCGATCCCAAAAGACTGAAAATGAAGGAAGCAAAGGTAATTTTGAAAATACGCGTCAGGATGTCATTTGCTCAGTTGGTGAACACTCAGTTTCTGAGGGGTGCCTATGTGAGATACATGTGTGTACACACACACTCTTCCTGTTGCCTATACGGCATGTGTTACAGCAGAGCAAGGTTTTTTGCCACATTCATTCACTAAAACGCCATGCACTTACCTGTATAATGCTGTATAATACCGGTCAGATATTGTCTGTTGAGAATTCATCACTTGGAAAAGCAGCATCAAAGCCTGCACACTAGTATTAAAATTTACAACATGCAGCACTTTGAATAAAGTGTCCACCTGCTCCCTCACTTTGTCGTCGCCTATCTGGGAATAAGGATACGCTCTGTTCACTCCTGTTAAAATGGCGCTGAGCATTTTTGATTCAATGTCTTTTTTCTTGATACAAGTCCGAAAGAAACAAAAATAAAGAGTTATTAATTTGTTAGCCAACTCGCTTTCTTCATGGGAGAGGACCATCTGGTTTAAAAAGCAAATTGCATAATACTGAGCTTTGGAGCTGATATTTGAGCGGAAGAGCAGCCTTTCTATTTCTCCACACACGACCCCTTTCATATTGGGATGCTTCCGCAGCAACACCTCCAACAGGTGGGAAGCTTTTGTGGCGATTCTGTTCTGAGGATCTCCCAGCTTATTGACCACCTGCACGAGAAGAGCCTTTTCCTCCTCGGGCTTATCACAGAGAAGCTCGTGAGCAGCTACCAGGGCTCGGGTTTTGGTGGCTACCAAGGAATCGTGACTTAGCGCTTCGAGGACCTGCACGAACTCTGCCACTAGGTGCTTCAGCTGGTGTTCATAATACCACAGTATGAGTCTTCTGTCTCTCGAGTCCCTGTTGCCGCTGGACAGCTCTTCCAGTTGGTGGAAAGGGTGCTGGCTGAAGACGCGGAGCTTCCGGCTGTCCGGCAGAAGGTCTGTGATGAGTAACTCCTTGAACGTATCCAAAGCCATGAGGCACTGCTGCTTGCTGCCCTTCTTCTTCACCAGGTTCAAGAGGGTTTCTACAAACTGGAGCGTGTGAACAGCGTCATCCTGGATCAGAAGGATCATGGCTGCTAGCCTGTCACCCAGTGTCCCCGACGACACAATTGCCTTCATCCAGGTGGAAGAACCTCCCTTTTGGTTATTTGTCTTATTTTTGAATAAGCTGACTTCATGCTCATAAAGCTTCTGAGCCAGGGCTTTGTATTCAGACACTACATCCCGAGCCTGAGGTTCCAAGGAATATTCGTTGCTGTACTCCATGTCATACCACTTGCCTCCAGGCTTGAATAACAGCGTTGGTCTCTCAAGAAACTCGAACACATCGGGTTGTTTATTTTTCTTTGTTTTGGGGATGGTACTGCTATCTGAATGCTGTTCTGGTACACTCTTATTTTTCACCTTTTTTTCTGATGCAGTTTTACTTTCTGTTGCTTTTTGTTTTTTACTTTCTACCTTCAATATTTTTTCTTCTTTTTTGTTAGCATTTTCTTTTTTATCTGGTTCATCCTCTTCAATTAAAGACTTTGCGTATTTGGCCAAATTAAGATTTTGAATGAATGCCTCCAATTCGCCTTGCTGAAGGTCGTCAATTGTTCCTTTTTTGCCTCCGTCCACCACCTCCTCATTTTCATCCAAAGTAGCCAGCATGAGATAATCTTGCTGCACAGACATAAAAAAAGTTAGAACTGTATTACGAACCCAGAACTTCAGGAAGAACTTCATATCACATCTGAATTATTACACTATTGCCTGAGAAAGTTACAGATATCCAATGAGAAAATGTGCCAAGGATTATGTACCCTAAAGGGAAAAGAAGGTTCTCAAAGAAACTTCTTCAAGGTATGAAAAGATGCTCAAGCTGACAGCCCCAGAAATCCAGTGAAAATCGCAACGACATATGCATTTGTAAAGTATCAGGTGAGCAAAGATAAAAGTTTATATGAATGGGCAGGGGGTGGCTCAGGGGGTGGCTCAGCGGGTCAAGCCCTTGCCAAGCAAGCCTGGCGATCTGGGTTCGATCTCCGGAACCCATGTAAAGGAGAGAAACCGACTCCACCAAGTTGTCCTCTGACTTCCACACACGTGTACCAACATACAGCACCCCCTTCCCATAAGAAGCAAGTAAGTAAATAAATAAGCACTTTATGAGGTCGTGTAGGTAGGAAAAGGCACTTTCATAAAGGGCTAAGGTAAACCTGCAGGTCCCTTTTGGCAACTTCAATCCAACCTACAAGGCATTTATCTTTTAACCCAGCAGATTCAGATTTGACACACACTAGCGTTCAAAACAGATGCCCACGAGGTAGGGACCAGTTAAGTTAGTTTTCTCCGACCTGATGGGCGTTGACGGTTGCGCCACCCTAATAACAAGCTCGCCTACATCTTAAGGGAGCATAAACCCAGGAGAAAACGTGCCATCCGAATATTTTTATTCCACCCAAGAGCGGCTAAGAGCGTGGGAGGCGCTCGGGACAGGTCGGAGGCCGGGCTGCGGGTCCCACACTCCCGGCGGCCGGGCGCAGCGCCCCCTTGTCCGGCGCCTGCGGCCGTTACCTTGGTGCCTCCGAGGCGTAACACCTCCTCCAGGGAGAAGCCATTCTTGGTCTCGTCGCTCTCCTCCTCGTCCTCCTCCTCCGGATCTCCTGTCACCTCTTTGGGACGCCAGTGCCGCTTGGCATGGAACTCCAAAGGTTGCTGGTCCGCCGACATTGCTGGCGGGACACGCGCGCGCGGCCCGCAACTCGCTTCCTCCTTCCGGCGGCGCACTTCCGTTCAGGGGGCGTGTCCGGAAATACCCTTCCTCCCCGCCCCCTCCAGGGCGGAGCCTGGCCCCGACGTGATTGGGAATGAATGCTTTGGTGAGACGTGGAGTGGCCCGTGCGGGTAAGAGTCCTCGCCGCCGCCGCCGCAGAACCCTGTTTCCATGGAGACTGCTTGCTTCCTTGGTTGTTTCCTGGGGGCTGGAGTTGGAAGCCGGTCCCCCGGAGAGGCTTGGCCGTGTGGCAGTCGTGGGCTCCGTGCATCGGGTTCTCTGACCCTGGGGCGAAGTTAAGTGAGGAGCAAGCAAGGCTGTGCTTTCCTTGCAAGCTCTGGCAGGCTTGCGCGCGTCAAGGAAACGGAGATTTCTAAGGCGGGCGCTTCCCGGTGCTTTTCAGGCATCCCCTGTCTTTGGAGAGGGAAGTGCTTCAGCTCCGGGAATGAGCCGGCGGAAAGCAACCGGGTGACGCCGATGCTGAGGCATCTGATGTATAAAATAAAGTCCACAGGTCCCATCACCGTGGCCGAGTACATGAAGGAGGTTTTGACCAACCCAGCCAAGGTAAACACAGGGGAGCGCGAGCCTCGAAGGGTGTGTACACAGAGGAGCCCGAAGGTCCCGGAGCCCGCAGACGATGAGCGGCTCTCCGAAGTCCTTGGGATGTAGTTTAATCTGTCAGTTATCAGGCCGCGTTGATTCAAGGGCAGTGCCAATAAAGAGGTCAGGGCAAATTTCTGTGGTGTTTAGGTGTGGCCGACTGTAGTTGGAATTTCGTGAGTTAAAGGGAAGATTGTTTTCTAACTGGGTTGTGCATTTCCCTGCTGGAAGGCAACTCTGTGTATAGGAGGTTGGCCTTGAACTTGCAGGGTCTTTCTGTTTTCTCTCCTGAGTGCTGGGAATCTTGGTGATCTCCACCTGCCTGGCTGTAAGAAGCTTTGATTGAGAGACATTGAGTCTTTCTTGTTAAAGTTAAGCGTTATGGTCAAACTTGGGATATGAAGATAGTAATGCATGGTCTTCTCCCCAAATGATTAAGCCTTCTAATCAAAGTAATGATAGATACATTAAAAAAAAAAAAAAGCACTGGGTGGAGTTTTGGGTTGGAAGTCTTAGGTGAGAGAGGTCAGTGAAGATGGCATTTGGGTAGATTGAACTGATAAGGATGCCAGGGAGAGAACTAAAAAGGGAAGAAAGGGAGACTTCGCATGGGCATGGGAGTAGACAAGCAAGGCCGATGAAACAAAAGAAAACCCATCTTTTTATCGAGATACATTTATCATATAAAAAGTACATAAGTAAGCCACTGGCATGTAATTGGATAGATTTGTCGCACACATGCAGACGGATTTTTCATACAGAACATATTTATGTAAGTTGCACATGGTTAAGAAACAGTAATTCTAGGAGGTGGTGGCACACGCCTTTAATCCCAGTCCTCAGGAGGCAGAGGCAGGCGGATCTCTGTGAGTTCCAGGCTAGCCTGGGCTACAGAGTGAGTTCCAGGAAAGGCGCCAAAGCTACACAGAGAAACCCTGTCTCGAAGAAAAAAAAAAACACCAAACAACAACAACAAAAACAGTATCACCAACAGGCAAGGCTAACTTGGGAGAGGAGGCTGGGGTGATTCGAGTCCTTCTATGTTGGACTGTGGGTGTGGGCAGAGGGCAGGGATGTAGAGATGAACATTGCATGGTTCCAGCCCTTCTACTTGAGGAGTAAGTGTTTTTCTGTGAGATTTGCGAAATGCCTACTACCATGTAAAATTTGGGTAAAGACTCTGTCTTTCTTTTGGTTATTTCAGAAGAGAGAACTTCCTTGGTAAATAGTTATGTCACTGTGTGTGTTACATAACATCTTGGAGGAGTTGCTTTGAAAGCCTTATTTGAAAATTAATCTTTTCCATTTCCTCTTTTTTTTCTCAGGGATATTACGTGCATCATGATATGCTAGGGGAAAAAGGAGACTTCATTACTTCACCCGAAATAAGTCAAATCTTTGGGGAGGTAATACCCAACATGTCGTCTGTAAAAGGAATGAATGCCATAAACACCTGAGAGCATGAGCTATGCGAGTCTGCCATAGTGTTGTGTGTGTGTGTGTGTGTGTGTGTGTGTGTGTGTGTGTGTGTGTGTGTCTGTCTGTCTGTCTGTCTGTCTGTCTGTCTGTATATATCTATGCCTGTCTAATAACACATATAGAATTTTTTGTAAATGTTTTGCTTTTTGGTATATAGTATGTATTCACATAGAGTTTTAGTCTATAATGCTTTCATGTTTTTTTTCTTGTCGTAGCTACTAGGGATATGGTTCGTTAGTGAATGGATGACCTCTGGAAAAAGTCCAGCTTTCCAGCTGGTGGAACTGGGTCCAGGTCGGGGGACCCTCACTGGAGATATTTTGAGGGTAGGTAATAAAAGATTGTCTCTAAGTCATGTAGGTTAATCGTTCTGTTTTTGACTGAGTTTGCAAACGTCACTGATCTTCTAGGTTTGCAGTCCTCCTTTCTTTTTTTTTTTAGATTTATTTATTATGTATACAGTGTTCTCTCTGCATGTATGCCTGCAGGCCAGAAGAGGGCACCAGATCTCATTACAGATGGTTGTGAGCCACCATGTGGTTGCTGGGAATTGAACTCAGGACCTCAGGAAAAGCAGCCAGTGCTCTTAACCACTGAGCCATCTCTCCAGCCCTGCAGTCCTCCTTTCTAAATCTTGTATTTGTCAGCTAAAATAAAGTGTCAGAGTAATGTAATGGTTCATTCCTTATTATTGTCTGTAAGCTTAAAAAATGGAGGGGTGATGTACAGGCTGAAAATATAAAATGCTTGGGTGATGTCATTTATGCTTTTGCCATTGAGTTGCTAAAAGATGTGTAAGATGCGTGTGTTTTCTTTTTTCCCTCTACATTCACAACAGTAAAAGACGGTTGTGTAGCGAAGGGAAAATTGAAAATGTGTTTTAATCCCCGGGTCAGTCAAGTGCCATTTAATTTGTTTCTGAGGACACAGTTTCATCATGTCCCAGACATTTTATTTCCTTGGGACATTTAAAAAAAAAATTGATCTGAAACATTGTGTGGCTGCCCAATCTTTTTATTTTCAATAGTGAATTATTATTAGGAAGTCATGTTGTACAGTTTATTTTGTGTATAAATGATGTTTACTAACTCTAATGTTACTGGAGAATGACTGGGGTCAGGGTTAAGTCTCTAAAAGTGAATGCACTTGTGATATGATTAAATGGTTGTGGTGAGGAGTCAGAAACCTGTCTACTTGTCACATTGTGTTAGCCGGGGTGTGGTGCGTTTGGCCCCCAGAGGCTCATGTATTTGAATGCTTGGTCACTAGTTGGTAGAACGGTTTTGGAAGATTCAGAGGTGGCCTTGGTAGAGCAGGTGTGTCACCTGGCGGTGGATTTGAGTTTCCAAAGCCCACACCAGGTCCAGTCTCACTCTCTGCCTCCAACTCGTGGATAAGATGTAAGCCACCGCTCCAGCATCATGTCTGCCTGCCTGCTGCCGTGATCTGCACCACAGTCATGGACTTATCCTCCGTAATCAAGCCCCGAGTTAACACTTCCTTTTCTGAGTTGTCTTGGCTATTGCCACAGCGATAGGACAGTAACAGTAACACAGTGTTCTTTTGTTGTTGTAGGTGTTCAGTCAGCTTGGGTCCATGCTAAAAACCTGTGACATTTCAATACACCTAGTAGAGGTGAGCCAGAAATTAAGTGAGATTCAAGCACAGGCACTGACTGAGGAGAAGCTCCCTGTGGAGAGAGATGCCGAATCCCTGGTGTACATGAAAGGTGTCACTAAGTCTGGGATCCCCGTCTCCTGGTACCGAGATCTGAAGGATGTTCCTAAAGGTATAGCTTTACATTGACTCACGGCAGAACGTTGCTCAGAACTCCTCACAGCCGTGACAGCTGACCGACCTTCTAATGCAGTTTAACAGTTAGTTATTGCTTCCAAGTCCCTCCCTGGAAGGGAATAGCTGACTTTTCCATTTCTAGCCAAGAACATTATACTAGAAGATTGCTGAACATTACAGAGCAGTGTACTTCATTTCCTCTTATAGAAAGCAAACCAAACAAAACCCCAAACTGTCAATCTCTGAACAGTGTTTCCCTTCAGCTAGGGTAGTACTGATGAAGTGGCCCGAGGCGGCATGGGCTGAAGAAGGAGATAGTAGATGGGTTTGGTTATCAGTCTCTTGAAAAACCTTCACTTGCCCCAAAGCAAGCAAGGTGTGGGGGTGAAAGGCCCTGTGCTAGTCTAGAGTCCTTGACAGTGTGGAGGTGAGATCTCCAGCAAGGCACCCAAAGCTGTTTCTGGCCTTAGCTTTCTCACATGAAGTTCACATTCCTTTCCAGCTAACACATTTGAGTCGCATTGTTTTTTTAGGAATGTAGTGATGAAGAGTTAGCTGGTCACGGGGCATTTCCGTTCTCATGGCATTATGTGGAAACTGAGGAGTAATTGTTCCTTTGAATGCTGTCCATAGTGCTGTGGTTCAACCCCTTAAGGGTTGAACAACCATTTCACAGGGGTCATATATCAGAAATCCTGCATATCAAGATATTTACATCATGATTTATAACAGTAGCAAAATGACAGTTATGAAGGAGCAAAGAAAACAGTGTTATGGCTGGAGGTCACCACAACATGAGGAACTGGATTAAAGGGTCGCAGTATTAGAAAAGGTGAGAACCACTGCCATAGAAAGGATAGAATGGGAGCATCCCAGGTTCCGGAGCTGAAGAATTGGGTACTTTCTTTTTTTATGGCTACTGTTCGATAGAATTGTTTTGAACTGCTGAATCACTAACTTTTTCTTTTATTTTAAAATAGGATACAGCTTTTATCTCGCACACGAGTTTTTGGATGTTCTTCCCGTGCATAAATTTCAGGTATTGATGGGAAAGTCACGTTTCTGATTAACCAGAGCTGTGAACTAGTGAACTGATAGTGCTCACCCACTGCTTGCTCAAGTTAGTATTATGTGGGATTGTCATAAATACGAATGATTGAGAACCAAAGATGAAATACGATCCAGAATCTTTATTCTCCTGGGAAAATGACTATGACTTCTTAGTTTTGGGATGAAGACACAAGAGAGCATACAGTGGTGGATGGCTGTGTCCTGAGGATGTATTTGGGCCAGTCTTTCAGCTCCACCTATGGCAACTTCTAAGGCTAAGAGTAAGCCGCACGCAATGTAGTCCTTTGTCACAGATCGCCCACTCACTTGCTCACACTGTTTGCCTTCCAGTCCAGCTTACTTTCTTCTACAGCTCTTATTTGTCACGGCTTCTTTAGAACATCACGCTTTAAGAGCTTGCAAACACTTGTTTTTTTTTGTGTTCTGCTAGAAAACACCACAAGGATGGAGAGAAGTGCTTGTTGATATCGACCCCCAAGTTTCTGATAAACTGAGGTTCGTCTTGGCGCCTTGTGCGACGCCAGCAGAAGCCTTCATACAAGTATGGATCTGAGTTTTCCTTTGGTCGCTGCGGAGTGCTCTAGCCTGTTTCCTTAGCTGTCGTTTTAGCTTTTTCTCAGTGGCAGTGCTGGTGGCATGTGAATGCTTTGTCCTACCTGTCACAGTGGCAGTCCAGACCTAGAATCAGGAGGGTGGGCTAAAGTCATTTACTCAGCCAGGTGCCTCTGATAATAAATGATGCCATGTGATCACCTTATAGAGAAGATTCCCTATCTGAAGGCAGGGTGGTATACTAACAGCTGACTCACTGAGCATCATGGTTTGCTCTGTGTGTTCTCATTGGGAACATTTTACTGTCATCCCTGGGCAAGAGCACAGCGATTCGGTCACATGTGAACCCAGACCCACCTTAGATCCCACACTGTGGACAGATTAACTGCTGCTTTCTGTTGTCCCTAAGGAATGCTGCTGATACCCATACCACCTCAGACTGATCTTCACGACAGGTGGCATCCCATGGCCCCATTCAAATGAAAGGAGTCCAACCCTCTCTGGAGAATTCCCAGAAAGTTCCCAGAGCTTTCTATCTTTGGACTGTGCACAACTTTTTAAATACATTTATTTTCTATATGGTGTTTCTCCTGCATATCTGTATGAGGGTGTTGGTTCCCACCGAATGGGAACTATAGATGGTTGTTAGCTGCCATGTGGGTGCTGGGAATCAAACCGAGGTCCTCTGGAAGAACAACCAGTGCTCTTAACTGCTTAGCCATCCCTTTGGCCCCAGGGCTCTTTAAAGGTCCCCAAATAGCACATTCTTCTCAAGAATATCTGAGCTTCACAGTACCTTTTTATTCCCTCTTCTCTACCCCAGAAAAATGTTTTTACTTTCCAGCTCTTAAGAATTGCCTAAAGTTTTAAAAACAAGTTTTTAAAAACATACCTACTCATTTGTTTTTTTCACAAACTCTTAAGTTGTAACATCAGACTAAATACTTGTGAGCAGTTTTTCATATTCTATGTAATTCTGCCTGAATGACAAACATATTTATAAGCTACCAAAGTGCCACCTCCTCCCTGAAGTCACCCTGTAGTTTCTTGCTATTCAGTTCTTGACTTGACTAGCATTCTCCAGAGAGGGTTGGGACTCCCTTTCATTTGAATGGGGCCATGGGATGCCACCTGCCCTGAAGATCAGTCTGAGGTGGTATGGGTATCAGCGGGGTTACCTGAGGCTTGCTGGCAGATGTCTGAAGAGGCTGGCTTTGTGATTTTCGTAGCTACATTGGTTTCTCTAATATCATTAGGGCTGAACGTTTGTTATTTTACTGAATCCGCACTATAGACCCAGAGTATGTCTTATCAGAAACCAGACAAAAATCTCATTTCCCATTGAGCAGTAGGAGGTGTAACCCTACACTAAGTCTGTGACATCTCTTGTGCCTGCCCCATCATAGGCAGAGACATCACCGTGGGTCATTACTGTTTTCAGGGTATCAGGAGGGAGTAAATGATGGTGGGTTTCCATGGTGAAGATGATAAAATTTCACAGATCATCACTAGTTCATAAGCTGATGCTTGTAGATGCAGGACACCACTGGCTATGCTTTCTGCCTTCACAGGGCAACGCAGGGCTGAATCTGATTTAATCAGATTCTTCTGACCGATATCTTTTGACCGTATCTTTTGAGTCCCTGTTAATGTTAGGTGGCATTTCCTTATGCATACAACCCAGTGAGCTATGTTTTCACATATTAATATAGGAAAGTGCTTTTATAATAAAAGCACTTGACCATAAGGGAGGTTCAGAGTACTTATGCCTTTTAAAAGATATAAAATATTGGGGCTGGAGAGATGGCTCAGAGGTTAAGAGCACTGGCTGCTCTTCCAGAGGAACTGGGTTCAATTCCCAGCACCCACATGGTGGCTCACAACTGTCTGTAACTACAGTTCCTGACACCCTTACACAGGCATACACACACAGGCAAAACACCGATACAAATAAAAAATAAATGAATAAATATTTTTAAAATACACACACACACACACACACACACACACACACACACACACACACACACATATATAATATTGAAGTCTCTACAAACAAATTGTCCAGCACGAAAGAACCATGTTCTGTACAATGCGAGGGATGCCATCTGAGACACTGTCTAGACCACATTCACATCAAATTCATTATAACTAAGAAATGTTCAACTTGTAGAAATGTGAAAGACTCTTAAGGAAGCAGCAGTTCTTTCAAGTGATGTCCTGTGATTCCCTCACCAGCACGATGAAAGAAGGGACCATGTGGAAGTGTGTCCCGACGCTGGGGTTATTATACAGGAACTTTCTCAACGCATTGCATCAAGCGGAGGTGCTGCTCTGATTGCCGACTACGGTCACGATGGGACAAAGACAGACACCTTCAGAGTACGTATCACAGGGGCGTGCTTTATCAGAACTTCATTGCTAGATCTGCAGTTCACCGAGGAGCTGTCCTAGCTTGGTTTTTATGGTGTCTAACTTTGTTGTATTCATTTTAGAATTAGTGTGAATGATGTTGTTATCATTACTCATAATTCTGAATCTTACAGCCATTCTTCCTTAAGTGAAAAGCCTAAATATGCATAGAGCCTAGGAAACTTTGGAATAACACACATTTTGGGAAAGATTTTCTTCATGTTAATGTTTCAGCTCCGCCTTCATAAAAAAAAAGAAAAGAAAAGAAAGAAAGCAAAAGTTACTTTGCACATTTAACCTAGTCATTGCGATCAAACTCTTTTAACATCTTTTTCTTCTCAGGTATCATCCTTCACCCTTTCCAAACATTCTTTCTAAATGTTCTTTAAATATGACAGTATGTTGAAATATGTTGAATATTCTTTAATAGAAATATATTTAACTAAAGGCTATTACTCATTTTCTAGATCAGTGGTTCTTCATTTCTGACTTCATTATTGTTAAGAATTCTTAGCTAGGAGAACATATTAAAAATGATACTCTCTAGCCTTCTTCCAGGATTATAGTAGAGCAGGCCTGGATGGAGCACACTCCCATATTCTCAGGGTTTTGACACTGTGATTGACAGGTAAGTATTGTAAACTACTACCTAGGTTCTGGTTGCTGGAACTTGCCACAGTATTAATGGGAATGTTAAATAGCTTTAAGTTAAAGGTAACGTCTTCAGGATTCCAACTTTGTATTTTCTGTTGAGTTTTTCATGTATCACCTTGTTTGGAGAAAGGATGTAATTGCCTAGAGTTTAAATCACAGATTTAGGCCATACTTTTATTTTTAACATTGACAATGTAAACAATATATTTGTATCATATCCTTTCTTTAATCTCGATAATATTAACTAAGATAGACAAAACTATTTTTCATATTCAAGGGGTTTTGTGGACACCAGCTTCATGATGTCTTAACTGCTCCTGGAACAGCAGATCTGACAGCTGATGTGGACTTCAGTTACCTGCGCAGAATGGTACAAGGAAAAGTAGCCTCTCTGGGTCCAGTAGAGCAGCGAACGTTTTTAAAAAACATGGGCATTGATGTCCGGCTAAAGGTAATGGTTTATCTCACTACCATTAAATATCTTCATTTAAAGAATTATTTAAAGAACCTCTGCTGACTTAATGCTGTTGTAGTAGCAGGCCCTGGTGCAGTCTTTGCAGGGGTAAGAGCTGGGATGTGGCACAGCTTGTTAAGTTTCTATATGAGGTTGAGGCTCCCAAGAAAACCATGTTCATGGGTATGAATTTTGTAACTCCTCTTCCGAGGATACTTAAATGTTCTTACGGGGCAAATCACCCAGGGTATCTGCTGAAGATGCAGATGTATACGTTTGGGCCATAGCAACCTAGTTATAACCCTGTGATCACCTTTGGGGCACTGCTGTACTGGGTCACTAAAGTCACTGTTAGTGCTTCCTCGGGGATTTCTTTCTTCCAGTGACTTTCCTTAAAGACCTTTCCCCCTTCAGGTTCTTTTAGATAAAGCAGACGAGCCATCCACGAAGCGGCAGTTACTTCAGGGGTATGACATGTTAATGAACCCTCAGAAGATGGGAGAGAGATTCAACTTCTTTGCCTTGCTACCTCATCAGAGACTTCATGGTGCAGGTCAAGAAAGGAATGCCTGTCAGTCAAAGACCCCTGCATCATCTGTAGCTGGGTTTGATGACCTTGTTTGGCAGTGATATTTCAGCTTGGACTGTTTATTCTTCAGTGTGCTTTAAAAATCAAAATAAAAGAAACTCATTTTGTATATTGAAGGTAATGACAGTGTTCAAACTGTCTCTTTGCAGTCAATAAACATAGCCTTTTATATAAAATACAATCAAAATAGTTGGATGTTCAAGGCTATATGTAACTAACTCTTGGTATAATTGTTTTTAACCTAGTGAGGTAGTTTATTGTGATATCAAGTTTCCTTTAGTCAAGCTAGTTGTTGTATTTCTATTTACTTTTTTTTTTCCTTCGAGACGGTTTCTCTGTGTAGCTTTGTGCCTTTCCTGGAACTCATTCTGTAGCCCAGGCTGGCCTTGAACTCACAGAGATCTGCCTGCCTCTGCCTCCCGAGTGCTGGGATTAAAGGCGTGAGCCACCATCACCCGGCCTCTATTTACTTTTTAAAAACACATGAGCACTGGTTGGTTTGTTGGAAACTGCAAATACGGTAAATGGCTATTTCCAGGGATCTGAGTCATCAGCTCTGCATATTATTTTTAAAAAAGGGAAAAGCCGTATACTCTGATAGAAGAATCTCCAAGGTTTAGTAAATAGAAGTCAGACGTGAGTTTCTACAGTTATGATTCTGATTTTGCTGAAGGAGACAGTTAAATGAATATGCCAGTATGACTTTTAGTTTTCTGTTCTCGGTGTGCACAGGCCGAGAAAAGATGAAGGACTGAACAGCTGGGCAGGGAATCAGCAGTGAATTCCCCAATCTGGAAGCAGGGATCAGAAGGTTTACACATGCTTCTGTGGATTTAAGTAAAGATTCATTCTAAAATTGTAAAGAAGTAATAAAAACCATAGTTTTTTTTAAAAAAAAAACAAAACAAAAAACCTCTGCAACAATCTGACTTGTACCGAAATGAGAGTTGAGAACAATACAGAGCAGCCAGGGATAATTTCCTAAGCCGAGTTCATTCTGCTGAAGACAAATTTCAGTTCCGTAATACGCTGTCACCAGTTGGGTCCATAGAACTTTTATATTACTACTGTAAATAGGTTGTCTTGGGAAGTATTTACCAGCAACACAACCCTCTGAGGTCAGAGGAAACAGTGTTGGCCGTTCTGACCTCATGGTTGAACTGGACTGGAGATTCACTGGCAGGGTGGTGTGTCACTTGTTTTTATTCCTGCAGCTCAACTGAGAACACTCTGTATCTTAAGTCTATAAAGGAAAGAATGACTGGGGCTTCATTTAATTCGTGTGTGTGGGATATGCACATTTTGGCTACAGCACCTACCCCGTACTCACATTTTGGGCATTGCATGTATGTACACGTGGAGGTTGACAGACGGTGTCTTTTCTTCCGTGGCTCCCCACCTTAGTTTCTGAGGCAGACAGCATCTCTCTCTCTGAAATCATTGCTCTTTAATTTGGCCAAAGCTTTCTTGTCTCTGCCCTTCCCTGGCAATGTCTTGCTGGGGTTCCCGGCACGCTGTGGTGCCTGGCTGTGTGTGTGTGTGTGTGTGCGCGCGCGCCGGGATCCAATCTGAGGCCCTCTGTTTGTGCAGCAGGCGCTCACCTTCCAAGCCCTCTCCCCAGCCCGATGTCCTAGTGTTCAGGTGCTGTGCAGCCTTAGGCCATTATTCCTAACTGCTCTGTTCAATTTAATTCCATTCCTACAGCCACTGTTTTGTTTTTTGTTTTCAAGGACTAGACTAAAACATTTGTAAGATGAAAATACCCACAGTTGGCTCCTCCCAAATACACAATTGTTTTTAGTTTTTATAATTAAGAGGGAAGAGTTCTATCTCTACTTCTTCTATCTCATAAAATTCTAGAAATTTATTTTCTATATTAGACATTTAATTTTTCCAAGTCTTCTGGTAGTTGCAATAGTTGAATATCTGGAGTAGTCACTGAAAAAAGTTGAATTATCATTATTCTTCACACCTGCATTCCAATAAATGAACCCTCTAGATAATTCTCTCAAATGCAGTATGCAATTGAAATGACTTTTTGAGAGGTTTTCTTTGTGTGTGTGTGGGGGTGGTTAAACACAATCAGTGTTCATGCAGCGTTGGCTCTATTTACAAAACTGTCCTATTACCCGGGCCCAGGGAAAATATTGCAAGCCAATAAAACTCTCTTGGGAAACTTGTACTAGAGACTAGCTAAGGTTTTCACATAGGAAAGTATAGTGATATAGAAATACATTTTATTATCAAGTTTTAAGAATATTTACAAAAAGTGGGATGTAACAAAAAATATAAAATGTACTAAACAGTGTCATTATACACTACTTTGAAAATTATCACATGTTTCTAAGAAACAGTTATTTTTTATGCAAACAACTTGGCTTTAAGACAAAGACAAAGGTTATGCAGGTTACACAGTAGAGTAGTTACTCAACGCCAGACTATCTGACAGTCTCTCTCTTTAGACAGCACAGGCCTTCAACAAAAACAGAGTGCAATTAATCTCACGGCTTGTAAAGCCTGATTATAGCAGGACAGCAACCCAACAGTCACTCCAGGAAGCTTTCACCTCACACAGTAAAGCCACAGTGGGATGCAGAGTGACATGAGATTGTTCCATCTTGTACATGCTGGTCAAGCAGACCTTCCAGAAACGGAGTGAAATCACCACCTATCACAGGGACAATCCATTCATAGTTCCTTAAAATTACTCTTCACAACTGCTGGATAAGAACAATTACCGAGATATGTGCAAAGTCTCCTGGAGATACTCACAGATGTACAGTACATCATCAATGGCTGGGACAGGTAAAAGGGACTGGGGACATAGGCCTGGGTTCAAATCCATATTCAAACTCTATGAACTTTTAGCAGCCAACCTTGTGCCTCAACTTCCTTACATGTATGTAGTCATGTGGCTTGGCTACTGTGAGGACAGTTTAAAGCATAAAGACTTACAACACAGGCAGCCTGTAATGTCTCTGTTTCTTCAAGGATGTTTTTAATTTTCGGTAGATTCCGAGGCTGCTTTCTCATCCGCAAAGGCACTCTCAGTCTTGGTCCTACTCACACACAAGACCGTTCTCCTTCGCCACCTCAGACTCAGTGTAACTGACAACACCGAGTTCCAGACTGTCAGAGACCTTCACACATGCCCATCTTCATGGCCACACCGAGGAAGGCAGAGGCAGCAATTTATGTTCTCCATTTACAGACTGGGAAACTAAATGCTTAGACAAACTGTCTCCTGCCCAGCCCAGCAGATCTAAACACTAAGAAGCTAAGACTCACACCCAGGTTCTCTGACTCCAAATCTTTGCTCTCAGCACAGAAAAGGAACAACAACAAAAACCCTATTCTTGGTGACCAGTGAGGATGAAGAGACAAACGCTACTGTATTTCCTGCAAGAGGATGGTCCTGGACCCTTTTCTTTGGGCAAAGCACAGATTGGAACATCACTAATGTGAAAATCTCAAAGTGCCTCAGAACCCCAAAGTTTCTAGATTTTGGAGGATTTCAGATTTATAATTAGGGATGCTCAACCAGTGGAGGGTGCAGATCTTTCAGTGTCTGGAAAGCTGAAACCTTTCTGGTGTACAGGTTAGGGATATTGAACCTATATTAAGAACTACTATAAAAAGCTGGTTGCGGGAGCTGAAGTGTAAGAAATGCTTACTTTTCCTTCATCTGCTGTACAGGTACTATGGTTCCACCCCAGTGATGTCTGACTTCAAACCACCTCCCCAAACTGCTCAAAGTAAAATGCCAATTTAAAACTTCTAGATATTTGGAGGCCCCACCCAAAGGCTAAGGGAAAAGATACTGCTCGCTGTATAGCGACATTTACTGACCCTGTACCAGCTCTCCTTTGAGTCTGTATTTAGTTTTGTCTCTAAGTATTCAACTCCATGTGAGGATCAGCTGCAGAGCTGTGCCCATTGACTGCTGGCATACAACCTCCATCACAATGGTGTCAACTGAGAACATATATGTGTGTTGAGCGGCAGAGCTGAGTGGTGACCAGCTCTACCCACTTTTGTCACACCAACTGTCCAATTATCCCAGTGGCTACTGCAACAGAGAAAAGGTGACAACTTTTATGTCATACAGACCAGGTTTAAAGATACAGCCCCCACCAGGATCCATTTATAGAGCTCCAGGAAGGATCAATGCCTCCAACAGTAGACAGATATTAGAAGTCCTTACAGCAGACCATATATTGTTAGCCTCAGAGTCACCGCCTAACACAAACCTGATGAGTAATCAACCTTATAAACAAGAACTAGACAGTCATAGGCTTTTAAAACAAATGATGTAACGACAGCAAAGGAGAGATAAATTAAGTGCTAATTCACATTGTCCTAATGTGAGGATTAAAAAAAATTACAGAACCAGTTATTGCTTAGGCTACAAAAATTTCTAACAAGTTTCATTCTGATTTTCTTGTGTGATTTTATTACTCAGTTTCCCTTCATGTACCTACTTGTTATGAGCTACAGTATTGGTGCCACCAAGTTGTTCTAGTCCCTTATGACTCTGCCTCCTCACCATGACAGCCTGCAGAGAGCAACAGTTAGGCAGCAGAGTATCTGGTCATGAAATGAAACCCTTCCGTACTGAAGTCCGCTCGCTGATCATTAAGGATCTTCTTCCATATCATCTGGATTGGGGGCCATAATGAAATGCTTTGGGTATTCGAGGTTGTGTGTGTACGCGTGGATTTCCCAGCGAGCGTCATCACTTTCGTGGGTAATGTAACGTTCTCCAATGCGAGTTTCAAATTCTCTGAGGTCAAGCCAAGTCTGGTAATCCTAGGAAAAGAAAATGATTACGAACCATAAAATCGACAAAATGCTGACAGACCCGTTTTGTTTACAACCTTAGTGCCACAACTGACAACTCCTCAGTTCCAAGTGTATTTCACATTAGCAATGTTAAAGATAAATCTTAAAATCTAATGTCTCTATAAAGGAAAGGAACTAGTTTCTAGAAAATTCTCTTAGGCTTTTGAGTTAGCTAATAGTAATCAGGAAGACATTTGTTCTATACTGCTTGAGGCATACAACTTACTGTTCAAAACAGGGGAAAGTGCTTGAATCTATCAACAGGCTAACTTACTAAACGGTGAGCCCAGAGGTGTGCTTGTTTAATGTTAAGCCTACGATCCTGTTTCCTATAAAATCATTGCACAGCTTCTCTGCTCACTCTCAAGTGTGGATTTTTGTCTTGAGACAAATCTCTGAAATAACTCATGGAGGAATCAAGCCATAAACATAAACCTTTTAGTAGATGTTCAAAATAAAATATATTGAATATATGTATGCCACATTAACCTTTAAAACAAAGAAAAAGGAAAGAAAAACATGACTAGCCAAGTCCTTAGAAAAGGCTCAGTGTTTCAGTTCATGGATGTTTAACTGACTTCAATGACAGGCTGCACAACTTCCAGAGGCCCGAGCCATGGCACAGGTAAGGACTAAAGAGGGCCTAGATTATCCCAAGCAGTGTGCTGAACCTGCTGCTCTTTGAGTGGCTTCATTAGCGAAGACAAACGCACAGGAGGTTAAGATGCAGAACCTTTTTTTCCTTTACCTGTAGCCAAGGATGACTAAGAGATTTGTCAACACTGAAGCGTTTTCTCATCTTCACTTGAAGCAAGTTGTTTATCAAATCAATTGCTAGATGAAAAGGCAAAATTAGATACATGAGTTTAGGGGCACTGCAGGAGGGCAGTTTGATCCATGTAAATATGGCATGGAGAAAATTTTGCTTCTCGATTATATAAAATTTAACACAGAGAAGTGACCCATAAATGCTTCCTGCAGTAAGTATGAACACCAACTTCTTTTTTTTTTTTTTCCTCGAGACAGGGTTTCTCTGTGTAGCTTTGCACCTTTCCTGGAACTCATTCTGTAGACCAGGCTGGCCTCGAACTCACAGAGATCCGCCTGGCTCTGCCTCCTGAGTGCTGGGATTAAAGGCGTGGGCCACCACTGCCCGGCAAACACCAACTTCTTATGTTAAGGCTGCAGAACAGAGTATAGGTTACAAGAATACACTAAAGCCAGATGGGTAAGGCTGATATGTACCAGTGACATGATCTATTTCTAAACTATGCTGTACCTTTATTTCCTCATCTGTACAATGGAACTGTTGAGAAGAGGAAATCAGTTTAATATCAGTCTTAGACTGTGTTTGGCACACAGGTGCTAAGTATTCATAACTGCTATTTGAGGATGAACAAAACAGATTCTGATTCCAGATGACCATTCTCTCTTCCTGACCGGTCTGAAAAGTGGCATACGTCACTCTTACTTCAACAGCTACAGTGAGAAGGAAGAGGCAACAATAACAGAAGTTCAGGTTTAGCAATCAAGTTAGGGGTGACTTTGTACCGTTGGTGAAAATTTAGCACATTTTACTCAGTTATTTGGAGAAACTGAACCACTACACAATCAAGGCAACCATAAAACTACACAGTGACCACAGACTACATAAGGACACGTTTGGAATATTGATAAAGAAAGCCTACTCCCAACTTGCAAAGGTTTTCCCCAAGTACTTCATTACCTTCCGTGTTTCAAATCCCTCCACCCCTTGTCTATCCGGTCAACTGGGGTCACTGTCTGCATTAATTTCAGGAAGTGCTGAGTCTGAATCTAGGCTGCGGCCAAGTGAATGACAAGAGAGGTCTATGGCCAGACTGCCGTTAGAGCTCTGTGACAGCTTTGAAGACCAAAATCTCCCAGTGGACTTCAGCTTTTTTGTTACAAAGTGAAGCTGGCAGGCTGCTGTTTTTTCTGTTGTTCACAACACTCCTTCCACGTCAGTGGAGTATTTATCAAACTGTCATCCGGCCCAGTACATTTGGAAAGGTAAGAAAGACCTATTCATTCAATGGCTGGCTAAACTTGGGTGGGGATATTCCTTAGCACTACGAGGGGACTGTTTTCTAAGGATGGCATACTCCATCAGTAAACTAAAGAGGACCAACTTCATTCCCCTTCCCTGCCTTTCTCCCTGCCCCTTCCCCAAGAAAAGGTCTTGTATAAAGCTCTGAAACCTCCACAATACTGGAATTACTGGCGTCCGCCAACAGCCCTGGCTGATTCTTGACATGTACAGAAGCAGGCATTACAAATTAAAAAGCTTTCACTAGTCATGAACACTATAGCATGAAGCTTCCTGGTAAAAGATCGGAAGGATGGAAAACATGAACTGCAGATACAAAAGCTCATTCTAGGTATAAAGCACAAGAGCTAAAAATGTCTAATCAATCTGTACTGAGGATTGGAATAACTAATTACCAAAACATATACTTAAGAAAAAAATGCCCATGGGGCTGGAGAGATGGCTCAGAGGTTAGGAGCACTGACTGCTCTTCCAG